CCGTTCCCTCAGTGTAACTGCTTCCTTTTCGGGCTTCTGTGTTAGCCAAAGAGATTCCCTGTCTAGGTCTAGTGTTGGCGGCAATGCACGAAGGCCACTGTCATTTCCAGTTGGTCTCCTCCTCCTCGGTCGGCTTCAGACACCCCCGAAAACGATGAAGCTCCAAGACCCCAGCTGCAGCTCCAGGGAGCTGCCAGGTACCTGCAGATCCCCACCCCGGAGCCTGGCTTACGTTAGTGGTGAACGTGCGAGACAGAAGCTCCTCTCGCTGTCTCTCCTGCTGTTCCCTTGCGTATCGCCGATGCTGGAAGTTTTGGAGAGCGGTCTGCAAGTGCTGGACATCATACTTTAACTGGTCAACACGCCTGGAATTGATGGAGAGAGAGACCACATGTCAGGAACCCAAGGCAGCACGCTGCAGTGGCCAGGCTTTGTATTCAAGGAAGATGCTTCCTTGCTTCTCCCGACACTGCTTCGCGATATCTCCAACAGAATCTCCTGATTTTGATCGAGGATGGTGAAAAAAAAGCAGCAGCCTGTGGTTCCAGTCGGGTGGTAGCCCATGAGATTCCAGCAGCTTTACTTAAGCTCTGCTGGTCTCTGAGTCTGGATGCATGACAGGGAACAGGTGACAGGAAGCAGGCTCAAGGACCTCTCCCTGACCTTCCATGGACTATATCGCTTCCCAAGAAGAAGCCCAAGGGCATCTTTCGAGTAAAGCATCAACAAAGTTTCATAAAACTTTTGGGAGCAGGGGCTGGGGTGGAGGTGTTGAGGGGGCTTTCATTTTCATTTCATGGGGGAGTATCAAACGTAAGATTGGCATCTCATTATAAACAGACTGACTGAAGTGATTAAGGGCAAGATTTCATTTCAACCCAAGAAGGCAGCGGGAACCAAAGGCCAGAGCCAACCTCTCCGACAGCAGTAGGCTTCAGGTAGGCAGGCAATATCAAAATGACCCAACGTAAGGAGACATGAGGCTTCTGAGCCACTAACCTCACAGGGTTTTTATTTTGAGGAAGCATCAGTGAAATGGAATCGTGCCCTTTAGGGGAACTTTATCTTTACAGAGTCTCGTTTTTCAATGTGTAAATGGATCTTTCAGAATATTCGCTAGCCTCCCCTGGGCTAGCCCTCACGGGCTGAGGGTGTCAGTGCACTCACAGTCTGGCATTCTGTCTTTTGTTAGGGGGCTCCTTGCTGGACAAAATCTCCAGACGTTCTAGATGGCTGAATATCTGGTCTATGCTTGCTTGGATTTCGTTTTCTACTACTGCACAAAAGAGAAAAAAGAATAATTGCTGGAAGAGACAGCGAACTTAAATTAGAAGGATACATTAAACACATCTTTTTTCCATATCCAATAAATGCAAAGAAACACATTTTAAAAGGAGAAAAACACATATACTAGTGAGTAACTGGAAAAAATTCAAGTTATACTAAGTACTCTGTAAATGTTGTTCTAAACACATACATACACGTAGCTGTTAAAGCCATAACAATGCCAATTTTTAAAAAAGCTAGATAAATCTGTAGAAATAAACTTCTTGCCTTTAGAAACGAAATATTTTAAGCAAAATGCAGTATCTTCTGAAACAGAATGAGGTCTCTTTTCCTTTGAGATTATTCTCAGATACGAGTTATAAATATCTAGTAAAAAGGCTGCCAATTGAATTCCCTACAGTAATGAGGTTAAAAGAAAAAAAAAGCAAAGGGGAAGATTAGTGTGTGAAACACAGAGAAGCGCTCCCTTAAGGCTTTCCATAAGAATGGGCAGGCTGACGCTGATGTCCCCAAAATAGACCAAATATCACTAGGAAAGGCCCAGGAAAGAATCCACAGAGATAAAGATATGATAAATACACTCATTTTCCTTATCCCTTTTGATAAACAGTCGAAATTACCGCTTTTCCATTTTTCATCATACGACAACGGGAGTGTTGGGAAGGCAAACAGAGCCGATTGGACACTAATCTGTGCACAGAAGAAAGGCACCCAGACTGCTTCTCGCCCCAGAAAGACATGACAGTGGACCTGTCCAACCTACAGCTGATATACAGTTTGGATGAGAACGAGGTGGGCACAGAAGCCAGAGACGCTTTGGAGGCTGTGGAAAGGAGGCACGAGTGGTCCGAATCGGGCGTGCTGACAGCCGGGCAGGGAGGTGAGGGGGTGGCCTCCGCAGCGTGTGGGGAACCAGTGGTGCCTGTCCGACCAGCTCCGAGAGAGGACCTTTCCTTACAACGGCAAAGAAACCACGAAACAAAAAGCAGAGCTCTTCTCCAAAGAAACTACGGTGTGGGAACTAAACTAATTAATATTGCTATTCGTTTCTGAATAATCCTCCTAAAAAAGCCACAGTTCTCAGCTCAGAAGAAACGACCGATTCCAGTTCAACATCTCTGAGTTGGTAGGGAGTACATTCCTCTAAGGGCTCGGTTCTTAGATGAAGACAGGTGGAGGGGAGAACGTCCGTTCCCAGAGGGCCGTGTCAGGGTGAGCGGAGGGGTGATGGGGGCTAAGCCTGGTGGGATTCCACAGGGTGCAATCAGGGGAGTCAGCGACTTTGCCCGAGGGCTTTCTGTCCACCCGAACAGCAGAACTCATTCTGCGCTGAGTCACTGAGCCCCTGAGGCAGAAACGCGGTCAGGAAACCCAGCCCATTAGCATGGTGTCATCAGAGAAAGGACTCCGGTCTCCACAGTTAATTACTCACAGTGCAGAGACTGCTTGTCTGCCGTCTCCAGGCGTCCCATGTGAGACTGGACCTCGTGGACCTGCCTATCAAGGGAAGAGAGAGGAAATGAGCGAGACAGGAGTAATCAACAGTGTTTCGGCCAGGAAAGACACGTTTTCTGATGCCAACAGGTAACCGATTTGAATTGACAGCATCGCTGAACTGTAAAATTTGTAAGTGGCACTTTAGGCCACATGTTTTGGCAGGGTTTCTAATAATTTAACACGAATATGAATAATAATACCGACAGGCAGCATTTACTGAGCACTTGCCACATCTAAGACATTCTGCAAAGTCAATAACCCCACGAGGAAAGGACCATTATCATCTTCATTTTGTAAATACGACAACTGAAGCCCAGAAAGGTTATGTAGCTTGTTCAAGGTCACACAGCAAGTGATAAACCTCAATCTGGACCCAGCCAATCCCACTCTCTGTTCTTTGACCCAATGTGCTGAGTGCTGGTCTGTACTAGGGAGAGTCAAAGGGCAGGACAGATATAATCCCTGTCCTTGAGAAACAATGTAATTAGGAATGACAGGCCAGAGGGACATGAAAAGTCCCAAGATTTGAGAGAGCACTCACACACACTAGGGTAAACAAAAAGGGAGCTGAGGAGTGGCGGTGTCAAGCAAAGGCAAGAACAGAAAAGAGTAAGCTGGGGGAAACTGGTGGGGTGAAGCGAGTTCTGCAGATCATTTTGAAGATGGGAGACGTGATCTGGTGAGGGAAGAGATGAAGAAAATGAGACGCAAAAAGGCACGTCATGTGGCTTACAAGCAGGCTGGCCGGCCTGAAAGAGAGCTGGGGTCCGAGGGGAGAAGGGATGGGGCGATTAGCCGCAGAAAATGATCAGAGAAGGCCCTGAAAGACAGGGGTCTCCTGTTTGGTAAACAGCTCTCCCTGGCAATGCCAGGCGATTGCTATCTCGTTTGGAAATGCAACACCATACCCTGGACCTCTAGCATGGTCCCGGACATCAGGCCCTAGAGCACTCTCTGGAGGCTCCCCTGGGCTTGGCCAAGGTCACCCTCGGAGCCCTTCCTAGCAGGCCTCTGTGATCAGGCCTGGAATACTGCTTATGCTGCCCCTGACGACTGCTTCCTGGTGCTTCTGGCCTCTATGCCTTAGAGGCACAGGGAAGGAAGCTGCTGAGCTCTTACCTCATCTTCAACCCTTGAGGGAAACATCAGCAGCCAACCTCCACCATGAGCACCACAAACAGTGAACCCAAATGGACCAATGCGAGCAAAGGAGCCCAAATTTGGTTTCAACTTCCTCTTGTCTTTTCCAGGGCTTTCCTGTAGCCTCTAAACATGACCCATGGCACCAGAAGGAAGGCCAACTCTCTAATGACTCTGAGTGTACCTGGGTGAGACCCATGGCCATGAGAGGAAACTAGAAATCACTACTAGAGATGGAGGGACCAGACTGCTACCCCAGTAGGTAAGTCCTGATAGTTTAGAGTGGGGCACGTGGGGATTTGGAGGTAGATATAGGGATGCCGCTTGACTTAACTAACATCTGGATCAGGGTTACCATAGAAACAGCAGTAGAGGACTGCATAGCAACACTGAAGGAAAGAAGAATTCGGATTTCACAGAAGGCCTGCATGTAGACAGTGAGGTAAATTTTCAACGGTAGCTTCATAGAGCAAATCTGAAAATTAGTGGCATTATTGACAGGAACAGGAACATAATAAAAAAGGGGTGGGGGGCAAAAAATATCCAAGACAACTCTGAGTTAAGTATGAGAGGGATGACCTGTCCCACCTCCTATGAACACTTATTACAAAGCCGTAATAATAAAACCAATATGGTAGCAGTGCAGAGACAGACAGACAAACCTGACCCCAACGCTGACTCAAGAGCAAAGAATAGAGGCTAGAAAGAGTCCTCCGTGTTTGGGGACTCGATGACATAAATGAGTGGGAAAAGAATGGACTACAATCAATGCCAAAGGCTCAGTTTGTTACCCACGCAGAAGACGGTATCTCACATAATACACAAAAATAAACTCAAGATGGTTTAAAGCCCAAATGAAAAAAGCGAGGCTTTAAAACTTTCTGAAGAAACTGATGAATCACTGAACTCTACCTCAGAAACTAATGATACACTAGATGTTAAGTAATTGAATTTAAATAAAAAAAAACTTTCTGAAGAAAACACAGGAGTACATATTATGATTCAGGTTAAAGAATTTCTTAAACAAGACAATAACCAAAACTATCCCCCAAACCTCAAACACCACAAGGCTGGTAAATTTGACTACATTGAAACAACTTTTCTACAGCAAAGGCACTATTAAATAAATAAATAAATAAATAAATAAATAAATAAATAAATAAATAAA